AAAAAAAAAAAAAAAAAAGAAAGAACGAGGAAGGCTAGCCGCAAACTTTTGTTTGTTCACATGCACTTCCCTATGTAAATAAATGGGGCATTCTTTTGTAAAACACACCAAGAGTGAAAAAAAATAAGGAACATAAACAACATTCAATTTTTGTGAGTTTTATTTTTCAGTGAAATAAAAATAGAGTGTTTGATTAATTTCTATGAGTGTGGAAAAATACACCAGTTGGGTATCATCTCTATTATTCCTTGTTTGTAATATTTGAATAGAAGTGTACTAGGTCACTAGATTTTACATTTTTAGTGTAGGGGAGTGTGAAAAGATATTGTTATTATCTTGAAAACATGGTGGAATTGTTCCGGGGTTTTCCCGTGATTTTTTTACCTCTACATTGGAGGTTTTTCCACGTTAAATCTCGGTGTCTTTTTTTGTATATTTTATTATTTGGGATATTCTTAGTATGCTATGTGGTCGCAGCTTAATCTGATCTTCCACGTCAGAAAAGAATTATTCATGTTTTATTGCAAGAGATTTTCTTTGTCATTCTTGAGTTGCTGGGATTGTGATTATTGTTCACCATTTCACATCGGTGTTTTTAATTTACATCTTCCGCATTTGCGCATCTAAGCCCAACAAGTGGGAACTGAGCTCAAGTTCTGCGCTCTGTATCAACCTGTGTAAATTAAATGGAGGAAAACGTGGGTACCATGGTGAAACTCACATCGGTGTTTTTAATTTACATCTTCCGCATTTGCGCATCTAAGCCCAACAAGTGGGAACTGAGCTCAAGTTCTGCGCTCTGTATCAACCTGTGTAAATTAAATGGAGGAAAACGTGGGTACCATGGTGAAACTCACAACAACAAATTACTCCATTTGGAAAAAAAAAATGGAGGACATACTTTTTTACAAAGATATGTATGGTCCTGTAAAAAAGGGAGACATAACAAGTCAGATGACGAGAAGCATGACGATTGAAAAAAATTACACAAGAAGAATGTCAGTTTAATAGACAGTGGGTGGATATCAACATATTCAACCATGTTGCCACAGATTCGAAAGCTCATACTCTATGGAACAATGTATCAGAGGAAGACTGCACAGAATAAAGCTTTCGTCATTAGAAAGCTTGTAAATCTAAAATATTAGGATGGAAGATCAGTTGCAGAACACTTGAATGATTTTCAAGACATGGTAAACCAGCTTGTTACCATGGAAATGAAACTTGATGAAGAACTGTAGGCGCTGTTACTTTTAAGTTCTTTACCGGATAGTTGGGAGACTCTGGTGGTCTCGTTGAGCAATTCTGCTCCAGAAGGAAAACTGACTTTGACCCAAGTCAAAGACAGTATGTTTAATGAAGAAACAAGAAGAAAAGACTCCGGGGCAAGCAGCTCCTAAGCCCTGGTCATAGAAACCAGGTGGAGAAGTAAAAGCAGAGGCCGGAATAACAAATCCAGAGTAAATCACAATCTCAACCCATAAGAAAATTTACGTGTTATCACTGCGGTGAAGACGGGCATATCAAAAGAAACTGTAAAGCATGGAAGAACAGAGATCAGAGTAACAACAAATCAGAGAACGATAAAAGTACCGCAACCCATGTGATCAATGGGGAAGTGGTGTTGCTCTCTGTTGAAGAAGTATAGTGTCATGTTGAAGATTCATGTGTTGAAGGGGTCACTGACTCAGCAACATCATTCCATGCAACCTCTCACAAGGAATTCTTTTCTCTATACAAAGAAGAAGACTTTGGTAGAGTAAAGATGGGTAACAACAACATTGCAAATATTGTGGGAGTTGGTGATGTGTGCATTCAAACTGATATTGGGTGCACAATAACACTGAAGGATGTGCAACATGTACCTGACTTACATCTGAATTTGATCTCTGTGCATGCATTGGATCTAGCAGGTTATACTAACAATTTTGGTAGCGGCACATGGAGGCTTACCAAAGGGTCATTGTTAGCTGCTAGAGGTACAGTGAGATCGACATTGTACATAACTCAAATGAAGCTGATCAAGAGTGGTAGCAGATATTTTGTGACGTTTATTGATGATGTTTCACAAAAATTGTGGGTGTACTTCTTGAGAACGAAGAATGAAGTTTTTCAGTATTTCAAAAGGTTTCATGCTATGGTGGAGAGACAAACTGGTAAACCTTTGAAGTGTCTTCGCTCAGATAATGGGGAGGGGGGGTGGGAGTATACATCCCATGAATTCAAGAATTATTGTGCTGATCATGGAATTAGGCATGAGAAGAATGTACATGGAACCCCACAACATAATGGTGTGGCTGAAAGAATCAATAGAACCATTATAGAGAAATGGAGGTGTACGTTAAGAATGGCTAAGCTACCTAAGCCATTCTGGGGTGAAGCTGTTCTAACAGCGTGCTACCTGATCAACCGATCTCCATCTGTTCCTTTGGGCTTTGATATCCCTGAGAGAGTATGGTCTGGACATGATGTTAAATACTCTAATTTAAAGGTATTTGGATGCAAAAACTTTGCTCACGTAAGCAAGGAACAGAGATGAAAACTTGATTATAAAGCCATTCCTTGTATATTTCTGGGCTATGGAGATGATGAATTTGGCTACAGGTTATGAGATCCAGAAAATAGAAAAATATCAGAAGGAATTCTTTTCTCTATAAGGAATTTTTTTCTCTATACAAAGAAGGAGACTTTGGTAGAGTAAATATGGACAACAACAGCATTGCAAATATTGTTGGAGTTGGTGATGTGTGCATTCAAACTGATATCGAGTGCACAATAACAGTGAATGATGGCGACATGTACCTGACTTACGTTTGAATTTGATCTCTGTGCATGCATTAGATTTAGCAGGCTATACTAACAATTTCGGTACGACACGTGGAGGCTTAC